TTAAGATCACTGATGTTACCCCCTTCATGACTTTAGATGGGAACAATGTGGTGTATGGTGGGCAAATAGCCAATTTAAACCTTTAGAAAAACTTTTCAACAGGAGACTTCAGTTAAGAAACTTCCAACAGAATTAATTCAACTATCAGTTCTGTCAATAAGAGAGAGAAAGTTGGAGATCCAGGAAACACTCCCCCTTTTAAAAGAGGAAAAGAATCTAGGAGCTATCTGGCTAAGGCTTTATAGGATTTAATGCCCCAGTCTACCTCTGCGTCTCTCTGGGGACATCTGGTGGTTAATAAGAACTGGACAAACATGGACTGGTGGCCCTCAGGGATATCAAAGGCAGTGAAGAGAAGAGTAGGAGGGCTCAGGGAATAACCCCTTTCAATAAGATGGGATTAAGCCAACACATCCAGATTCAAACACACACACCCCTCTTTCTGCTATCCTTGGGCAAATTAATATGTTACCAGTTTGTTTGTTTGTTTATTTGTTTTTTTACATTATTAAAAAAAGAAGGCTTTTCTTCCTCCATTTATTCTTGGTGGTGGGAGCTTTTGGGGTGATATATAAACGTATAAAGTCTAGCAAGAGCTCTGGTAGCTAGTGCCTAAGGCACTTGACTAACCAGAAGATTGGTGGTTCAAACTCACCAGCCACTCCTCGGTAAGAAGGTTGGGCAATCTGCTTCCATAGTGATACTGCCTTGACTATGAGTTGGGTCCGACTTGTAGGCACATAACAACAACGACAACAACAACAACTGCAAAAAGTCTAGCAAGTGTCTATTGAGTTCTAACTCTGTGCTGGGCACTGTGCTGACCACATGGATGATTTGTGCTGAATAGTTCAGTCCTCACTGCCTCCCCTAGAGGCAGGATCTGGGGAGATTCTACACGTGGAGAAGCCACCTACCTTCTCAAGTCTATTTAACTGATGCTTGAATGCTCAAGGTCACCAACTGCTTATTTAAAAGTGAAGACCATTTGATATTTACTGTTCGTAGAATGAATTTAATATCATCTATCACTTAGTGCTGATGCTAATTGAAGCTTTTTATATCGAATTTTTTTAACTACCTGCTTTAAAAGAGTTACGTATTTCACAGCAAAGAAACATATTTTGCTGATTTGTTATGAGTGATGATCTTTACAAAGAGACACAGTTCTTATTTCCTGCTAAAATTCCTGAGGACTTCTATCCAGCCAAGGATAAGATGTGTAGTTTCCCCACAGCAGATCTTTTTCCCCACAGGACAATGGTTTTCAAATGGAATCAGGCCTTCTCCCCAGGAGACATTTGACAATATCTAAATATATTTTTGATTATCACAGCTGGTAGTCAGGGAGGCTACTGGTATTGAGTAGGTGGAGACCAGGGATGCTGCTCAATACCCTGCAGGACACAAGGCAGCCCCACCCCGGAGAAGGCTCCAGCCCCAAATGTCATGAGTACCAAGAGGGAGAAACCCTGCCCTAGCAGAATATGCTTGTAGTTTGGAGTAGCACATCTCCCCGTATTGCAAGCATCAATAAAGAGTTTTCAGTTTGCTGGATAAACAAGTAAATGATCCAGCAAGCCTTTCAAAATAGTTTAACCTGGTCAGACTGGAAGAGGGGAAAGCTGGGGTTCCTGGCCTTCTGTTGAGGAAAGACTGCATTGTGCAATGATGGTCATTACCAGAGCCTTTTTGTTTTATATTTAGAAACCCATTCTCTGTCTCCTCTCCCCTCTCTCTTTCTGTGGAACAATTGTACAACCTTTTCAACCCCTCTGACTTACCCAGTATCACCAGGGTTTCTGCATGTAAAATATGAAGAATGTTAGTAACTTTTGTTTGCATAGGTGGTACAAATGGTTAAGCACTCAGCTACTAATTGAAAGGTTGGACATTCAAATCCACACAGAGGCACCTTGGAAGAAAGGCCTGGTGATCTCCTTTCAAATCACCAGCAATTGAAAACCCTGTGTAGCACAGTTCTCCTCTGATACACTCAGGGTTGCCATGAGTTGGAACCTACTCCATGGCAACTGGGTTAGCACTTGCCCATCTTTGTACTTGTTTGAATTTTGGGCTTCATAATTTCAACTTTGCCCCACTCGATCTCTCTCCACCTTTCTTTAGAGCTGAGCATGCAGAATTCAGTGCGTGGATCCGAGTCACCAGCTTCTGTGGCTTTGCGTCCATCGGGACCTGGGGCCCAGCCCGTGCCCGCCTCGCCGCAGGTAACAGAGCAACCCAGCCCTGGTGCCCAGGTTCTTCTAGGGGGCATCCAGTCTGCCCACAGAATAATCACTCATTCCAGTGTTAAAGAATACTCTACCCCCGTAAAGAGGACTTTACATTCTCTGAAAAGTCCCACCCAGCAAAAGATGATATGAATTAGAAAAGAAATAGCTCTTCTGAATCATAAACCAGTTTATGCTTGTCTTGTGTGTGTGTGTGTTTCTGTGTGTGTATGTGATAAAAATATATATAACAAAACATTTGCCACTGCAATGTTTCTTTTCATGTACAGCTTAGTGACTTTAATTACGTTCATCATGTGCAACCATTGCCATTATCCATTTCCAAATGTTTGATCTATTCTTATATTTTCATGGAAGTTTCCTCGTATCTTGGAGATTGTCCTGTAATCCAGAAATACATTATGGATAAGACAAGAAATAAGATAGAATTCTTAGTGTTTGGTGCAAATTTGAATCTCGCATTAAGTTGACTATGTTCTTTGAAATTTATAGATAGAGAATCTTCACATTCAGGCTCTCTCTACTTCTGGATTTCTATCATGAATTACAATAAAACATAAAGTAGTCAAACAAAAGCAGAGAATAGGTGACTTAAGGCTACCTGAGACAGAATCCCGTAAAACAGAATAGAGCTCTTAGAAGTCTCCAGAGATTCCCTGTGACTGTGTGACCACTCTTGACTCACCAGCAGTGGTCTAAAAAATTAGAAACATGGCAAAAAGAAATATGAAGGGGGAAAAAAAAGTTCAGCAGAATTAAAAAGGCAGACATAGAAACTGCATAGGTATCTGGGTGTAGTGCAAAAAGGTTCACACCTTTTTGACTACTAACCTAAAGAAAGAACTCCAGTGGTGCAGTGGTTCAGCATAGTTGGAGGTTCTAACTCAGCAGTGGAAGACCTGGAAATCTACTGGTAACGATTACAGCCTAGGAAACCCTATGGGGCAGTTCCCCCCTGTCCTATAGGGTTGTTCTGTATCAGAATCGACCGGAGTGCACACACCACCACCACCTAACCTAAAAGTTGGTGGTTTGAACCTACCCAGTGGCACTGCAGAAGAAAGGCCTGGGGATCTGCTTCTGTAAAGATTGCAACTAAGAAAACCAGTTTTACTCTATACCACATGGGGTCGCCGTGAGTCAGAATTGACTTGATGGCAACCTATGAGAAACAATCTACTTGATTTAGAATGTGCAGGCGTATCACTTTAACTTTTTCCTTCTTTCAAATATGGTGAGGGAGGGGTCTTAGAGGTCCATCTAAGGATGTCAAGAGCTAATGAGCAGACTCAGTTTTTCTGCCAGCAAGTCCTGGCCTCACTGAGCTTGTCCACCTCAGCCTATCTGCTGCTGCTCTCAGTCCTCCCAAGCCCCTCTTTCAGGCACCTCCTGGGCCTGAGTGGGTTCAATGTCTCTCTCTAGTAGCCACAGCAGTACTGGTCCCAGTGTCTCCACCAATGCCATCATGTCCACTCATGGTCCCACCATGTAGCCCCTCTCAGAGGCTTTCTGGGCTCCCATCCCTGCTACAGATGCTACCAGCTCCCAATCTCCCTGACAGCCTCCTGGTCAGCCATTTATTTCCCTCCTTCTCCTCCTCCCCCAGGCATGAAATGTCTACTCCACACTGCGTCACCTTCCCACCATTCCTCACCCAGCTGCCTGAGGAGATGGCCCTTCCCCACCTGCTCTCGCCCCCTTTGCCTGCAGGCCACACGGAGCTTGCATAGGGAGCACACCATCTGGCCAGCCACTTCCTTCCCAGAAGGAGATGGTCTTGCTCACTTGGTCCTCTGTGGTGGGCTCTTGCTTATCATGCATAAATGCTCAGCCCTGCGCTGCCCATGGAACATGCCACAGCATTAGTGGAAATGGTCTGTGTCTGTACTGGTCCACATGGGAGCCCCAGCCACCCGGGGCTCTGGAGCACTTGAAATGTGGCTAGTGTGTATAAGGAACTAGATTTTAAAATTTATTTGAATCTAATTAAATTTAATTAGCCACATGGTTACACACCTAGTAGCTACTACATTGGACACAAATATAAATATTATATACAGTTATGTCATAAAATACCAAATGTCAAAGTAAATCTTTAATATTCCCATTTATTTATTTATTTATAATTGAGGTAAAATTCATGTAACATGAAAGTGACCCTTTTAAACTGTACAGTTCAGTGGCATTCAGTACATTCACTAAGTTGTGCAACCATCACCACTGTCTAGTTCCAGAACATTTTCATCACCCCAAAAGGAAACTCTTGTGTCCAATCAGTAATAACTCCCCACCCCCTTCCTCCCAGCCCCTGACAACCACAAATCTGCTTTCTAGCCCCATGGATTTGCCTAGTGTGGTATTTCATGTAAATGGAATCATACAACATTTTTGTGTGTGTGTCTGGCTTCTCCCACTCAGCATAGTGTTTTCAGGGTTCATCATGTTGTGGCATGTAACAGGACTTCATTCCTTTTTATGGCTGAGTAATATTCCACTGTATGGGTGGGTCCCATATTGTTGATTCATTTGTCCTATTTGTTTTTATACCATTGGTATTCTTTTTATCATTGATTATGACTCACGAGGGGCTGGATCCTTCTTAAATTCTCTTAGTACCCAGTGCCCAGCTCAACTGGTGTATAGATGCCCATTTGCTGGTGTCATTAATACTGTCACAGCTGGTAGTCAGTGCTACTGGTATGAGTGGGTGGAGACCAGGGATACTGCCCTTTGTATTTTAATTACACACCTTCAACACCTGAGGGCAGTGTGGGAGAGTGGTGGGAGTAGGGGTTTGAGAACTCAGAGTTGTTTAGAACACAAAGTATTCATTGCAGAGTCAGCATGGTTGTTAGGTGCCCTCAAGTCCATTTGGACTCATGGAGACCCTGTGTGACAGTAGAGCTGCCCCGTAGGGTTTTCTAGTTTATAATTATTACAGGAGCAGATTGCCAGGTCTTTTCTCTAGTGGAACAACTGGGTGGGTTTGAACTGTCCAGCAGTTGAGCGCTTAACTATCCAAGCAGGGCTCCTTAGAGCTATCGCTACCAGGAACATTTAAAGTCCAAATCAGAAGATCACAGGATCACAGTCAATGGATTCCAGAGCCTGGCTTTAAGTAAACAAATAGTCTTTCTGCTTCTCTCTTGACTTTGGGATACATTTTGATCCATCACATTTTCATAGCTTTGTGCAGACAATCAGTACTCTAAGAGAACTAACCAACTCACCCTGGGAGGCTTGTGAGACCAGAGGGTAGGGTGGGCAAAGAACTAAGGACTTGGAGACAGAAAACCTGGGGCCAGTCTGGATTCTGGAAGTCCATATGCTGAGGATGTAAGGCGTTACTTAAATGTTACTGGGCAACATTTGTAAAATGGGGACATGTCCAGTGTGGACTGGAAAACCTGGGGGTGCCACAGAGTACACTTTTTCACGGGGAGGTGGTATGCACAATTCTCCAGATGGTTCTCTTGCAGTTTTCCCCTCGTGCCAGGGACACCTCACAGTCTAGGCTGTAGACTATAGAGGAAAAGCTGCCTGGGACTGTGTGTGTGTGTGCGTGTGTGTGCACATGCTTCTCTGTGTGTGTAAGTGTCTTTGTGAGTCTTTGTGTCTCTAGGAGTGTGTCTGAGTGTGTGAGTATGTGTATGCACAGTGCATGAGATGAATATATGTGTGCATGCTTGTGTACATGTGTGTATGTTGCACATGTGTGTGGTGAATCCGTAAGTGTTCACACACCTGTTTGTCAGCCCTGTGACAAAGAAACAGTGCAGTCGGCAAGCGGTAGCTGTGATTGTGACCTCTGTGTGTTTATGGAAGGAGCTCTGACGTGTCTAAATGTCCTTCTCATCCCTTGCCTTCCAGCGAGTGTTAGTCCAGGCAGCGGGCTCTGCTCCCAAAGGGACCCAGATGCAGCTGATTTCCCTTCCCAGAGTGCAGCAGATGCCGCAGCAGGTAAGGACCGCGCAGCCCACTTGGAGCTCAGTTGTTGTTAGGTGCTGTTGAGCAGACTCAGCCTCATAGCCATCCCATGTGACAGAGTAGCCACATAGGGTTCTTTCTTTTTTTATAATTAATTTTATTGATTGGTTGTTGTGGAGCATATACACAGCAGGACATACGCCAATTCAACAATCTACATATACAGTTCAGTGGCACTTGATTATATTCTTCACTTTGTACAGCCATTCTCACCTTCCTTTTCCAAATTGTCCCTCCCTTGTTAACATAAACTCACTAAGTTTTCTGTGTACTCTTCCCCATATGATTTTCTCAATTGTAATCTTTACTGGAGCAGGTCTTTCTCCACAGAGTGGCTGGGTCAGTGCAGACTGCCAGCCTTTCAGTTAGCAGGCGACTGTGTGTGCCACCTGGGCTCCTTATCAGAATGCAGCTAGTGCTTAGCAATCCAGAATAGTCTCTTAGCAACAAATCCTTGTCATTGCTATTCCTTTTTGTTTGATATCTTCAATTCCTTGCCCAGAAGGTTCTTCTGGCAGCTATGAGAAAAAAAAGCAAACAACTTTTATTGCAGATATTTTTGCAATAAGCCAAGAAAGCTGATGGTTTTCCATTCACCCATAAATTCTGCAAGCTTTTGGTGAGCAAGCAAACACCTAGTGGCACCGAGTAGAAGCACAGACTGATAGCAAGGATTTCTGGATTGGAGCCTCCTGGGGAGACAAACCCACATGCAAGTAAGCATTGCATCCTCAGATGAGTACCTCTTCTGAAATTAAATTATTGAAGAATAAAACTTGAAAAGCTTGAGCTAAACTGCCAAATAATAACACCGATCTCAATTTAAATATAGTCAGAGTGATCTGTACAGAGGCCCACAAACCCTTCCTATAGTAGCCAGAAAGTAAATATTTTTGGCTTTGTGGGCCAGCTGGTCTCTGTCACAACCACTCCACTCTGCCATTGTACCATGAAAGCAGCCACAGATGATAAGTAATGAGTGGTTGGGGCTGTGTGCTTTATTTATAAAAATGGTGGCTGGGCCAAATTTGTCTGACCTCTGCTGCGTAAGATGCTGTAGTAAAATTAATCGTTTCCAAAAGGAACCAAAAGTGTCATACATTGATGTCCAACACCAGAGAATGGGTCTCTCCAGGGGGCTCCTGCCTAGATTGGTGGTGGGTTTAGAGGTGATTTTCTGGCGACTGCATCAGAGAACTGAGAATGAGATTGCATGATGAGAACTGGGAAGATTTGTGGGGTTATGGAAAGCAAAAGTTCAGGCAGACCCAGCAAGGAACTGGGCCTTCAGCCCATGGCCAAAGTTTTACTTCCTCACTCATCTGTGAGGGAGGGGAGACAGGCCAATGTGTGACTCCAGAAGATTCCCTAACCTTGGGGGCTGGGCCAGGCCTGCTCCTGCTCTTTCTCTCTTTGGGTAACTTTGACCTGTCAGGTGACTCCGCATGTTCCCTGGCCCCTGGGCTTTGACTTACTCCCCTGGGGCCACCACCCAGCATTTCTGGAACTTTCTCCTGGCATTATTCTGGGGAATTGTGCACTTTGGAAGTATAACCATGGATGGGTATTATAGCAGATGAGCATCAGTGCTTTCCTGCAGCCCCAGGTAATGGATTTCAGGGATGGCTATGGTTAGATATGGGCATAGTCAATGCTTTGGCCTTCAATTTTCTCACCCTAAAATTAGGCTGAATTTTGTGTCCATTAAGAGTCCCTCTGCTAGAAAGCAGGAGAATTAGGAATAAAAGGAGGAAATTACCTCCATGACCAATTGCCTCCTATGCCATGAGCCCAGAACTGGATGGTGCCCACCTACCATTATTAGACATTTTTGATCAAAGATTCTATAGGAGAATCCTGACTGAAAGGGAGGGGGGAATATAGAACATCATTTCAAATTTTCATGGAATCGAGACTTTCTAGAGCTATTGCTGTTGCTCTGAGGAAATCTTTAAACTGTAAACCAGAAAAACCCCTGAAGTCTTCTTCAAACCAAACAATGATAGAGATTAACTAATAAAGAATATCTGCTTTGAGTATTGTGCTCCTTTAAGGAACTGTCTTTATGGGATCAAAGTGACAATGGCAGTTTGAGAGGTTAGACAGGAAGTTTTGGGGACAGTGAGTTTATGTTAATGGGGGAGGAACAATTTGGTAAGACAAGAATGGTTACACAACTCAAAGAATGTAGTCAATGTCGCTGAATTGAATATGTACAAAGGTTTGAATTGGTGTATGCTTTCCTCTGTATACTATCAACAGCAACAACAAAGTAAATAAAACAAGTTATTACAAAGAAAATAGGTTTTCTATGCTATAAGATTTTGAGGTTCTACACACAGAGTCCTGGACTTCCACTACTAGGGCCAGCATCCCCCAGGGTCATTTGTGGAGCATTGAGTTGACTTTCAGGTGGTATCAGGCAGGAGGGTGTGGGATTCTTCCCCTTGTACTCTTCTCTCCAGCTTCCTACTCCAGGCACTGCACTGCCTTCCACCCCTGTTCAAACCATCACACCCAGGTATGACTTCAAGGACCCCTGCCTCTGCCAGGGACAGGGCACCAGGACCCCCTACAGGAAGTTTGATGGGAGCACATGGAGGAAAATAGCTTGACCCTCTGCCCTAATGGGCAGTGCATGCTCCAAGGGCCTAGGGGAATGGTCCTTCTGTCCCAAGGGCAGCAGGCCCTTTGCCCTGTGGTGTGACTGTTGGGAATCCTCCTGGAGTGGGCAGGACAAGGGAACTTCACCACTTCGAGCTGTCTTTCCCCTCCATTCCCTAGATCATTAGACATGCGTAGGACAGGAGCCATCCTTCTGTTTCCTGCCCCCACATAGGCCGATGAGGGCCCCCAACCTCACTTCCCTCGTGCACTGCAGTAGAAATGAACCTTTACTCACAGAAATGACACTTGTATGGCAACAGGAGCAGCAAGACTGGCTCGTTCACAATTCTGTTACTGTTTGGGCTTAATGTGGAATGTATAGTCTTTGGCTGCTAACCTAAAAGTCAGCAGTTCAAGCCCACTCAGCAGCTCCATGGGAGAGAGACCTGGTCATCTGCTCCAGTAAACAGCATAACCTCGATAACCCTACGAGGCAGTTCTACTCCATTATACAGGGTTGCTATGAGTCAGAATTGACCCAGTGACACACAACTGTACTGTCTCTCCTAGTTTCTTTCTAGAAGGGCTGACTGTGGGAAAGAAAGCTGTAACTTAGTACTTACTAAATGTACATGGGAGCTCTGGTAGCATAGTGCCTAAAGGCACTTGACTGCTAACCAGAAGGCTGGTGGTTCAAACCCACCAGCCACTCCTCAGAAGGAAGATGGGCAATCTACTTCCGTAGTGATACTGCCTCGGAAACCCAAGGAGGGGGTCGCTATGAGTCGGGGCCGACTAGACGGCACATAACAACAACAACAACAAATGTACATAAAAGGCAGTATAAGATATTTTCAGCTTGAATCATCTGGAAAGACGTCCCAAGGCAACTATTGCCCAAGTCACAGAATGTGTGATGTTATTGCAGGTACAGCCCGTCCAGCACATCTGCCCAGCTCAGGTGCAGTATGTGGAGGGGGGAGACACCGTCTACACGAATGGAGCCATGTACGTGTTCTTTCTTCCTTGCCCCTTCCTTTTCAACTCTTCTACCTCTTTCTACTTGACATTGAGTTTGAATAAATTCTTCTCCTTTATCAGTTTGAATGGGCACCCCTGGGGGTGAAGATGGTTACTGCACGCAGTTACTAACCAAAAGTTGGAGCTTCAGGTCTGCTCAGAGGTGCCTAGGAAGAAAGACCTGGTGATCTCCTTCTGAAAAATCAGCCATTAGAAACCCTGTGGAGCACAGTTCTACTCTGGCACACATGGGGTTGCCGTGAGTTGATGTTGACTCGATGGCCACTGGTCCTGGTTTAGTTCTATGCAATTTTGTCCCAAGTATAAATTTGTGTGGGAGCCCTGGCAGTGCAGTGGTTAAAGTAATCAGGTGCTGACCTAAGTATCAGTGATTCAAACCCACCAGCCATTCCACAGGAGAAAGAAGTGGCAGTTTGAATGATGTGCCATAAAGATTTACAACCTTTGAAACCCAATAGGGCAGTTCTACTCTGGCTTATAGAGTCGCTATGAATTGGAATCAGCAGGAAGGCTTTGCGTTACAGGTTTGTGTAAACAGCACCATAATCAAGGTGCTAGACTGTCTGTGTCCACAAAGACACTCCTAAGTGCCACCCCTTTATTCACTCTTAAAATTTTGAGACAGTTTTTGATTAGTCAGCATATGATCATGAATGCTTCTAGAGACAATAGTGTAGAACTTTTGTGTTGACTGGCAGTTTTATATGCCATGATCCCATATTCCCTATGTCATGGGCTCCAGTTTTCCCAGATAGGGTTCCATGGTGACCTCTCTTTCTGACAGACGGACGTCCTATGCCTACAACCATGAGCCCCCGATGTACGCCCCTAGCAGTGCTGCATCATACTTCGAGGCCCCGGGCAGCACCCAGGTGACTGTTGCAGCTTCATCCCCACCAGTGGTCCCCTCCCACAACATGGTGGGCATCGCCATGGACGTTGTGGGGACCCCCATCGTCTCCAGTGCAGGCGCCTATCTCATCCATGGGGGGATGGACAGCACGAGGCACTCCTTGGCCCACAAGTCCCGGTCCCGGTCGTCGCCAGTCACGGTATGTAGGAGGCCCTGCTCAGGGGCCAGCGGGGTAGACCATGATAGACTCACAGCAACAGCAGCTGGGCCGGTGAGTAAGAGGCAACAGGAGGAGAGGACTGTCTGCTGTGTGTCAGGTGGCTCTGAGCTGGAGTCCTGCTAGCCTCAGATAGGCCATGTGATCCATGTGTGTCTCTCAACTTCTTTGAACCTCAGTTTCTCCTTTGGTAAAAAAAGAGAAGGATGAATCATATGTCACAGGTCCTGTGAATTTTTAATATGAGTGAAGCATCATCATCATTGGAAGATGCTGCTGCTGCTCTGTGTTATCAATGTGATCACCAACCTCTTAGAGGCTCAGATTGATCCATCTATATGTAAAAAGCTTGACTGAATTAAATAAGAGGAAATTCCCCTTAAGAACTGTACCCCCCCTAAAGAAAACCTATATCCAATTCTTCCCACCATGTTCCTATCCAAAATAATGATTTACCTGCTTAAAAACCTACCTGCTTTGAAAACTATTTTCCATTTTTACTTTTATTTTTTTAAAATAGCAGAGTGACATGAACTCTTTTTGGAATACAATCCTATGAATTTTCACACATGATAGATTTGTGTGACCAAAATCAAGAATAAGAACTCCATTACCTGAAAACCCCCTCATGGTATTTGTAGTCATGATTTCCCCCAACCTATGACCCCTGGGGCAACCACCCATCTGTTCTCCATCATGATAGTTTTATCTTTTAAAGTATGTCATATAAATGGAATGAGCATGTAATCTTTTTTAAAAAATTTTTATTGTGATTTGGGTGAAAGTTTAGAGCAAATTCATTTCTCATATAGCAGTTCATAACATTTTGTTTCATGACATTGACTGCAATTCCCACAATGTAACAGCTGTTTTCTCGCTTCGTCCCTGTACTTACCTCTTCGCTGTGTTCTTCCCTTCCATGTACTCTCAGCCCTGGAGCTATCTCCCTGTTTCTTTCTGCCCTTCTGTCCTCCTACAATTGATTGCTCCAAGGAGTATATCTACGTGATGTAAATGTTCACCCTATATGCCTATCTATCTCTTGTTTGGCTGGAAGCCACAGCAGTGAGTTCAGTTCCAGACCTGAAGGGTGACTAGGGGCCAAAAAGTCTCAGGGGTCTCACCAGGCTCTATCAGACCACCTCTATCCAGGATCTCCTGCACCAATTCCCCTCCAAGTGGTCGACAGTGATAGCCAGGCATCATCTAGTTCTTCTGGTCTCATGGTCATATAGGCTAAGGATCATGTGGTCTACTAGTCCCTTGGATGAATTGTTTCCATGCATCTTTGGTTTTCTTCATTCTTCTTTTCTCTGGATGAGGAGAGTCCCATCATTGCATCTATATGGCCACTTGCAAGCTTTTAAGACTCAGTCGCTGCTCACCAAAGTAGGATGTGGAACAATGTTTTTGTGTAGTATGTTATACCATTTGAGCTTGTCCCCTACGACCATGATCCTGAGCCCATAGGTCCAACTACTCCCTCAGGGTAGCTGGCTGTAGCCAAGAAGCCACCACAGCATTGTTCCTTGTCAGCTCTACTATACACCCGGACACTGTTACAGGACATACAAATATGCATGTAGAAACATTGTCTGCCAACTGTATACATGGTCATGGGCTCACAACCCCCTGCCTAGACATACCTGATCATTCAACCTGTCCACCCATCTATTCACCCATAGATCAATGCTTGCCATCACTGACAGCGCACTACTGTACATGCGGAAAGGTTCATCTTTGTTTTCTGTACTTCCCATGTACCTCTCTATGTCTTCCTCTTCCTTAGTGCCAGCATGTTGATCACTCACTTTTGGTACATTGCCCTTCCCTTCACCTAAATCAATACTTGTCTCTACTTATCTAGCAGTGTTCTTTCCCATTCCCTTCCATCCCTGGTAACCAATAAAGAAAGTTTCCTTCCATATATAAACCTTTCCTTGACTTTTTACAATATTGAACTAATACAATGTTTGTCCTTCTGTGATTGACCTATTTCATTCAGCATAATGTCCTCTAAGTTCATCCACGTTATGTGGTGTTTTGCAGATTGTACATTATTCTTTAGGGTTGCATAGTATTCCATTGTGTGTATATGCCATAGTTTGGTTATCCATTCTTCTGTTGATGGGCACTTAGGTTGTTTCCATCTCTTTGCTATTGTAAATAGTGCTGCAGTTAACATGGTTGTGTGCATATCTATTCTTGTCCTGGCTCTCACTTCTTTAGGATAAACATCTAGTAATGGGATTGCTGGATCAAATGATATTTCTAATTCCAACTTTTTAAGGAATCACCATACTGATTTCCACAGTGGTTGTATCATTTTACAGTCCCACCAGCGATGTATGAGAGTCCCAATCTCGCCACATCCTTGCCAGCATTTGTTATTTTCTGTATTGTTGAACTTTGCTATTAGTGCTGGGGTGAGATGGCATTTCATTGTTGTTTTGATGGTGTAGTGCCTAAGGCATTTGACTGCTAACTAGAAGGCTGGAGGTTCAAATCTACCAGCCACTCCTCAGAAAGAAGATTGGGTAATCTTCTTCTGTAGTGATACCACCTTGGAAATCCAAGGAGGGGTCACTATGAGTATGATCCAACTCCACGGCAGTGAGGTTTTTTTTTTTGATGGCTACTGATTGTGAACATTTCTGCATGTCTTTGTTGGCCTTCTGAATATCTTCTTTGATGAAGTGTCTATTCATGCCTTTTGCCCATTTTTAAATTGGATTGTTTATCCTTTTGTTGTTGAGGTGTTGGAGTTTTATATAAATTTTAGAGATAAGTCCCTTGTCAGGTTTGTCGTTGGTGAATAGTTTTTCCCATTCTGTAGGTTTTCTTTTTACTCTTTTGGAGAAGTCTTTTGAAAAATATAAAAATTTAATCTTTAGAAGGTCCCAGTCATCTAGTTTTCTTCTGCTGTTTGTGCATTTTGAGTTACGCTTGATAATCTGTTTGTGCCATAAATTAAGACCCCTAAATTTGCCCTTATTTTTTTCCTTGAGGAACTTTATAGTTTTAGGTTTCACATTTAAGTCTTTAAGCCATCTGGAGTTAATTTTTGTGTATGGTGTGAGATATGGATCTTGTTTCATTTTTCTGCAAATGGATAACCAGTTTGAGCATGTAATCTTTTGATACTGGCTTCTTTTACTCAATACAGTGTGTTTGAGATTCATCCAGGTTGTTGCATTAATCAGTAGTTCATTCATTTTTGTTGTTGAATAATACTGCAGTGTACTACAGTTGGTTGATCCATTTACCACTTGAGGGAGGTTTGGTTTGCTTTCAGTTTGGGGCAGTTATGAATCAAACTGACAGAAGCATTCATGTACAGGTTTTTTTATGGACAAAGCTTTTCTCTTCTTGGGTAAGTATCTACAAGTAAGATTGCTGACTCATATAGTAGGTATATGTTTAACTTCATAAGAAATTACCAAATAGTTTTCCCAAGTGGTTGTACCGTCTTGCATTCCCTCCAGCAGTGTAGAAGTGTTCCAGTTGCTCCACTTCATCATTGTCAACACTTAGTATTAATCAGTATTTTTTTCATTTTAGCCATTCTTAAAGGTGTGTAGAAGTTTCTCTTGGAGGTTTAAATTTGCGTTTCCTTTATAAGTAATGATGCTTAACAGCTTATTGTTTACTTACCTGTCTTCCATATATGTTCTTTAAGGAACTCTGGTGGTGTGGTGCCTAAGGCATTTGACTGCTAACCCGTAGCTTGGCAGTTCAAATCCACCAGCAGCTCTGCAGGAGGAAGATGGGGCAAATCCACTTCCATAGAGATTCCACCTCGGAAACCTAAAAGGGGTTGCTATGAGGCAGAATCAACTTGATGGCAGTGAGTTTTTTTATATGTTCTTTGGTGAAGGTCAAGACATGAGCCTATACTTTAACTAGGTTTTTTGTTTCTTGTTACTGAGTTTTGAGAATTCCTTACATATTCTGGATACAGGTCCTTTGTCACATATGTGATTTGCAAATATTTCCTCCAAGTCATTAGTATGTCTTTTTATTTTCTTAAGAATGTATTTTATGGAGGAAAAAATTTTCTTTCATTTTGGTCAAGTCCAATTTATCAAATTTCTTCTTTGGATCATGCTTCTGCTATCATGATAAGAACTTTTTGCCTTTCCCCAGGTTATGAAGATTTTATCCTATATTTTCTTTAAAACGTTTTATATTTTTATGTTTCACAATTAGATCTGTTTTATTTTGAGTTAATTTTTGTATAAGGTGTGAGGTTTAGGTCAAGATTTATTTTTTTGTATTTGAAACAACCAATTCCTGTAGCATCATTTGTTAAAAAAGACTATCCTTTCTCCATTGGTTTGCTTTTGCACTTTTGTCAAAAATCAGTTGGCCGTGTACATGGGTCTATTTCAGGATTTTCTATTTGTTTATCCTTTTATCCTTCCTTTGATCTCTATGTCTGTGAGTTTTTTTTTTTTTTTTTTTTACCATACTGTCTTAATTACTATCGCTTTATGTTGTTGTTGTTAGGTGCCATTGAGTCAGCTCTGACTCATGACGACCTTATGGATAACAGGCCAAAACATTGCCTGGTTCTGTGCCATCTTTGTGATCATTGGTATGTTTGAGTCTATCATTGCAGATTTTATGTGAGTCTATCTAATTGAGGGTTTCTCTCATTTTCACTGACCTTCCTGTACTTTACCAAACATGATATCCCTTTCTGACAATGGTCTTTCCTAATGACTTGTCCAAACTGTTGTTGTTGTTGTTAAGTGCCGTTGAGTCGCCTCCGACTCATAGCGACCCC